GTAAAAATTCACAAGAGAACCTAAGGTACAAGGTAAGGTTAAAATAATCTGTGTGTAAAACGTAAATCCTACGTCTTTCTATGCGCTTGAAACATAGAAGAATTTTGTGTGCACTACGATCACCTTCTATGCTACTCTCCAAGCAGAGCCTTTTTATTGTTATTTCGCACCCAACACAACGTACCAACCGACCGTAACCCAAAACCCAAACCTCTGCTTGGAGAGTAGATCGAAGTTGCTGAGGCAGTTGAATATCATTAGAAGTTTCGAGAGATGCACACGTGCGTTTCTGGCACGCGTACATCTCTCGAAACTTCTAATGACTTTCTGGTATGTTCTCATCCAATCTGACATTTTCCCAGATTGGTCTAGCAGTTTGTGTGGGAGTATTACAAAACAAGACATGCTGCGATGAGACACGTGTAGGGAACTTGTGCCCATCATTAGTCTCTCCTAGGGGATGATGACTGGATTGTTTCGGTGTTGTAAGCTTCTTTCCCCGCCGGGTGACTGTAGCCCACCCGGTTGATTTTAACAAATCACTTGAAAACTATACCGGTGCAATGGCCAAGTGGGTAGAGTGCTCGCCTTGCATTCGGTAGGTCGTGAGTTCTATCCCCGGGTGAGTCATATCAAAGACTGTGGGCACCGCCATATACTAATGGTTCCGGGGAGGACTTATAACTAGTAACTTGGGAAACTGTGGTAAGCCTTTGGCGAAACTGAATCCGAACCCTCCTCGCTTTCCTTGATGTTTTCTCATTCGGCCGAGCACTAAATCTTAGTGAAAACCTGATAACATCATTCAATTGTGCGCCTCTGAAACTTTTTTGAAAGAAGTTTCAGGCGATATAATGATGTACGTTTCTGGTATGTTCTCATCCAATCTGGCCTTTTCCCATATTGGTCTGGGTGTTTGTGTGGGAGTATTACAAGGCAAGACATGCTGCGATGAGGCACGTGTAGCTATAGGGGCTTCGTGCTCATCACCAGTCTCTTTTAGGGCTTCTGAGTGCAATTCTTCGGCACTGTAAGCTTCTATATCTAGCGTGTTTTCCTGATGAATTTGTTTTTCCCAGATTGGTCTAGGAGTTTGTGTGGGAGTATTAGAAGACAGAAGACATGCTGCGATGAGACACGTGTAGGGACCTCGTGCTTATAGCCAGTCTCTCATAGTTTTTTTTTTATGACGTGGTGACAGCACACGCAAGTTTTTTTAAAACTTATATTAATGCTGCCATCAACACAGGGGACAATACAATACTCATTTTCACCTGAGCGAAGTGAGGAACGTCGTGTAAAGTGCATTTTCCAAGGGTACCAGATCGGTGGTATGTCAGTCGAGCACTCTACCGCTACGCCACACGAGCCCACAAAGGGGCTCTGACTGGAATTCTTCGGCACTGTAAGCTTCTATGTAATTTGTTTTCCTGATACATAACTGTTATCACATCATCAGGTCGGGGGTTCCCGGTCCCAAACCCTCTCCCTCCAAGCCGCTTTATCTATCATGGCGCCCACCAGGTACCCCTTGGGTAGTCCGACATCAGTAGTCAGTCTATGTGTCACTGTCTGGCCGGTCTGATACTGTCTTGCCAATTTGGTACTGTCTTGCCAATCTGATACTGTATTGCAGCCACAAAAAATCTTCTCGGAGTTACCGAAAAAGGTTCCTTGTCATGTTCTGTTACCAAGATATTGATGTAGAGTTTAACATTAATGGGTAGATTTAGTCAACGTCAATCCAAACATACCGAGCAAGAATGCTCCAGGGAAAACGTAAATGTTGGTGTACTAAAATGGCCATTACATAAGGACAATCATTCTGTAATATGGTACACTTCTGGCACACTTTCTCTGCTTGTTTTTGATTGCATAGATACGGCGTCACCATCTCAAAAGCAAATGGGTTCCAAATCCTTAATGCGTTTGCACAATGTTAGCAATAAATGCAAATGGCTGGATATGCACTGTATCTAAAGGGCAAAGGCTCAATAAAGATTATTTATAACACAGGTTATGTACTGTGTTAGGTTTGAAAGTCTGTAGACCGTACTATGTTGAAATAAGGGTATGTAAATGTTATGGTAAATCGATGGATTTCCTTTATAGCACCTGCGGTCAGCTTGTTGAGTCAGAGTTTTCTCGCAGCTTTTCTTGCTTTGAAAGTTTCCTTTTTTGCAAGGCAGTCAATAAAGTAACTCTTTCGCCGACCAAATGTGTCCAGCTGCCAGTATTTCCAATGGAAATGATATTTCAAGAAAGCGGTCATTCTGTTTTGTCCCTATCATTACCTTTAACCAGCCAGAATACATGAGGTATAGGCATACTTAGTGACGTTTGAAGGAACCCTGATACCTGTAAGAGAAGAGTTGGACGCCCAAACATAACAGTTAAGAAACTTATTGAAACTGAAACTGGCTTGGAGGGACATGAACTTTTCTCAGTGATGTATGACAGACAGTTGTGGCTAACTAACTTTGTATGCTCCACCTCTACGGAGGATGAATGATGATGATGATGATGATGATGAAGGAATAGGTTGTAGAGCGCCTCCAAGCGACGGAACCAACCAATTTACATAAACTTAACATCAATATCTTGGTAAAGACACATGGCAAGGACTTTTTTTCTATAACTCCGAGCAGATTTATTTTACTGGCTACAAGACAGTATCAAATTGGCAAGACAGTATCAGATCGGCAAGGCTCTATCTAATACTTTTGGCTGGCAGGAAAAAGAACAAAGCTCGATAAAACGCCTAGAAACACATCTAAAATAATCCTCTGCTTGGAGAAAACCCATTTCTGAAATGTGAAGGGCGCCAAATTTTGATGAACCACCCACCTACAAATAAGGTATTGAACCGGGACAATACCACAGGATATTCTGTTGACCATCTAGGTGGAATTTCTACAAAATCGCGAATGACAAAACACGACGTATGGACATACCTACAAGCATTTACCTTTTCCATGGAGCATATTTGATTGGTATATTTAAAATTCCGTCGGCTAAAACTACCCATTTATATTAAACTTTCCATCAATATCGTGCTAACGAAAGATGACAAGGACACCTTACAATATCTCCAAGCAATTTTTTTAAATGTGAAGGGCGTCAGACTAGTACTTTCATGAACCACCGACCTACAAATACTGTATTAAACCAGCTCAATACCGCAGGATATTCTGTTCGCCATCTGGGTGGAAAAATTTCTACAAAACCGCGACTGACAAACCATGAGGTAAGGACATACTTACAGACATTTACCTTTTCCATTGAGCATACTTGCTCGGGATATATAGATACTAAGACGACCCATTTATATTAAACTTCCCATCAATATCGTGCTAAAGAGTCATGACAAGGACTCCTTATTTCATCTCCAATCAATTTCTTTAAATGTGAAGGGCGTCAGACTAGTACTTTCATGAACCACCGACCTACAGATACTGTATACATGTATTGAACAAGGACAACACCCCAGAAAATTCTCTTGACCATGTAGTGTGCAAAAAAACCTTGGCTGACAAAACATGAGATATTGGCATACTTAGTGACAGGAAGCGTTTGAAGGAATAGGCTGTAGAAAGTCTTCAGGCAAATGCTTTCATCAAATCGAAGCATCGATCATACTTGGAAGGATAAAAGACATCCCGCTTTGTGCCAAACGTAGGTTATCTAGATCGCTATTTGGGTAGGCTTTCCGGCTTTTCCACGTATATATGCTGCCATTTATCATCAAAGCCAATTGCCAAATGAGTGAGTGAGTGAGTGAGTGAGTGAGTGAGTGAGTGAGTGAGTGAGTGGGAGAATGAATGAGTGTATGAATGAATGAAAGTGAATGAATAGATGAGTGAATGAGTGAGTGAATGAATGAATGAATGCTTGGTTAGTTGGTTTATTTCAATATAATAGCATTCAATACCGTAGCGGTCACAATACAACTTAATTGAGGCATGGCCGGCCTACAGCATTTAAATCAGTCACTGAGACTTGTACTAGGGATTTAACACTACTGATAGCTGAGATCTCAAATCAAAGTTAAGAAAAAATTGCATCAACTTTACAGCAGTGTTGCCACACACGCACAAACGTGGCTGTCTCGCACTGCTCTAATCAGAAATTAATAGCAAACACGCGGCGACAATTATGATAAAAGCCGCTCTATCAGACCTACAAACGTGTTAATAGAGATGCAGGCTGCGACACAATTCACCCTCTTAGCGCACGGGCGAACAGAAATGACTGTATTTACAGTTTGGTAACCGCCCCAGTTAAGAACAAATTGTGCAAAATGTGTGCAAATCACGGCTGAGATGTTAAACACATAGTGGGTAATCATGGATTAATGGGACATTAACATCCAGGCAGCTGTCTGGTTGGTCCTTCTATGAGAAGCGGGGATGTGTGAGCCCGTCTCGCCAATTCTTGGAAAACAATTATTTTCAAGGTGACACGCAAACATTAAAATCGTTTGAAACCAGCATGGTATATAGTTTTACTAGAAACTCTCCAGCTGTAAACAGGTTGTAGTAATTTTCCCAGTTTTCGACATTTAGATAGGAAATTGGGAAGAATTTGTCCAAGAGACTACCAAAGAGTAATCACATTGGCAAAATGGTCCCTATATAAAGGGGGTTGCTATCGTAGGTTTGACTATACGTCATTAAGCATATGGTATTTCGACAACAGACATAGCACACGAAGAGCCATGGAAGATCACTTTATAGAATACTACTTTGAGTTCGGCTGCAGCTATTTATATTCTTAACGCTTGTGCATGTGTAAAATATCTAACGGACCAGTATTGGCCAGGTGCTTGTGAAGTAGAGATTGTCAGTTTTGACTGTATAATGATAATAACTTTACTACCAACCATGTCCTGAAGCTAATTGCTAACAACACAAAGACAAACACTAGCATATAATGCATTGTACTAGAAGACAGAAAATTGACAAAATGACATAATGATTATTCGTTTGTTCCTCTACAGACCCTCTCTGAACCATGGAAGACCACTTCAACGAAGACTACTTCGAGTTTGACTACAGCAACTACCCCTTCGAATTCTACAACTACACCTTCGACGGCAACTTCACCTACACCATCAAGGACCACTCTTGGGACGTCATCATCTACAACGTGGTCGCTCCCGTCATGCAATGCGCCATAGGCATGACGGGATTGATCGGTAACGGTCTGATCATGTACGTCATCTTCAAGTACGCGTCCATGAAGACTGTGGCGAACGTCTACGTCTTGAACTTGGCCGTGGCGGATTTTCTATACTGCCTGACTTTCCCCATCTGGACCATAGACTACATCCTGAGGTAGCCATACTTTCTTGTTTTGAATCATTCAATTGTAACTTAGCTTCTTCATTAGATAGTTTCTTTTTCTATAATCTGGTTTAATTATCTTATTGTTACTCATTAATTTCTAATTTTGTTTCTTGTCATTTGCCTTGTTTGTAATTTCAAGCATTCATTCATTCATATTTACCAAAGGAAAACATATTGTTTTTGCTTAGTTTCTTCTTCTTCCTCTCCGAATCAATAAGGTCAATGACCTGAAGCAGACGTCTGTCACAATGGTGTTGGGTTACATTATGTTGCAATTTTATAGCAGGAGGGATTTAGACTCGTGTCTGATCTTATATATGAATGTGTTTGAGTACGAATTATAACAGAGCACACCATATGGGGACTTCAAGGTAAACATTATGCATTAATTTTGCTTTGTAAATGTTACCTTTCTAGTCCATCCATACATTAATTAATTAAATAATTAATTCATTCCTTAGGATGTGGATTTTCGGCAGAGCCATGTGCAAGATCGTCCGAAGCATCTTCAACATCAACACGTTTGCGTCTATCTACATCCTCACCATGATGAGCATCGAGCGGAACTCGGCCGTCCTGCACCCAGTGAGGAACCGGACAGACAGGTCTGTATCTGTATCTGTAACTGTGTATATCCTTTATAACTGCCCTTCAGCATAACACATCAGCTTTGCAGGCACTCATTTCCCTTGCCTTTTACCTTTCTAGTTCATCCATGCATTAATTAATTAATTAGTCGAGAGAAATTCGGCTGTCTTACACCCTATTAGGAACCGGACGGACAGGTCCATTTTTTTCCTTGATTGAAGAAGTATTGAAGGTTAACATTACTATGCATATGTTATGTTAATGTAGAGGCTATTTGCTTAATCATGACATGTTAAAATGAAGTATTGACAAAGGAGAGGAATTTTACGCGCAAAATATTGTAATTTAAAGTTAGAAAAGCATGAATTAAGCTAACTTGTGGTAATTACGACCTAATTGAATCTTATATATTAAGCTTGAGTAGCTGAAACAGTCTCCCAGACAACGTGGTCGGCTGATCACTGACAACAACCTCCAGGCATTCAAAACAAGTGTACACCGGCATCTTCTTTCCACCACCAAGACTTCTGCATGTACAACTTTGCAGTTGCTGTAAACCAATGATTAGCCAGGAATGTTACAACCTAGGCTATTGTTTACATTAGCACATGATAGTAAAAAAAAAACTAAATAACATAATTTTGTCACAGGTCCCTGAAGAAGGCTAAGATCATCTGCGGCAGTATCTGGGTGTTCGCGCTGCTCTGCTGCCTGCCTTACATCGTGTTTGCTGACACGGTGGACTTCGGTGGCGTGCCGGTTTGTACCTCTTTTTATTGAAGTCAATTGACTTGAATTTCTATATTCTGGGTATGCTACCCATACGAAACAGCCATACAAGCATAAAACACAAATGAAATGTACTTTCAACGGTTTGTTTGAAGTTAAAACTTGTGTTCCAACACAAAGAATTGTTATCACCTAGAGCTTTCGACCAGTCACTTTGATTTTCATCTAGACGAGACTTAAAGCTAGAGACCCTCTGTAGAAGAGAACTTCAGACAAAGCCTTAAGAACCAAAACTAAAAAAGAACCCAACATACTGTTAAAGCAGTTAGCCTTCGGGCATGGTTTTGCAAATAAATAAATAGATTCAGAGCAGTGTCTGGGGCAAAAATAGTGCTGTATCCAGAACCGTGCTTTATCCAGAACTACGACTTTATCACATTTCAATATATCATTCCGATACACTTATTTGCAGGTGTGCCTGTTTAACTGGCACGGCAGTGTGCAGACTCAGGAGTGGTGGCGCAGTGTGAACGCGATTTACCTGATGGCGATGGCCTTCCTGGTGCCGCTGTGCATCATGGTCCCCAACTACGTGCTCATCTACCGCAAACTGCTCAACACGGACGTCATCCCGCCGGAGTTCAGGCGCGCTGTCAGGTCGGTAACTATATCTCTGCCTGCCTAAATGCTTAGACCAGAACTGGTCCCTTGCTCCTCTTCATTTGTCCTACAAGGCAGCACGGTCCAGAGCCTTTTGTTCAGCAATCTTGAGGGACCATCCAGTGTCATATACTATTTGGGGGTCTCCTCTAGGCCTGGGGTCCTGGTGGTATAGCCGTCCTTCGGCGTAACACACCAGCTTCGCAGGCACGCCGAATGACCAGTTACACCTATAACCTTAGCACATTTAATTGCAGTAGTTGTTTAAAGATCTCTAGCTAGTAATGATGCTACATGTATGTGCTTGGTGGCAACGAGCTCCACTCTACGATCATAGTTCTTGGAAAGTACGAGTTTTTAGCACTTCTTGTACTATTGGATTTTTCTTGTTCTTTTCTTGGTTGGTATTAGATACTTAGTAGTTAGTACGTCCACCAGTTTATTAGCCATTTTGTACATCCATAGTCAGGACATGTTTCGTCTGTTCGTCTGCAGGTCGCGTCACCGCGTCACCAGGATGGTCATCGTGGTCGTGCTGACGTTCATCGTGTGCTGGCTGCCGCTGCACATCGGGAACGTCATCAGGTAGGGTGCTTTTACCACGGTGCTTTTACACAATGTCTTGTAGAACAGAGTAAAGTAGAGTAGAGTAGAGTAGAGTAGAGTAGAATACAGTAGAGTAGAGTAGAGTAGAGTAGAGTAGAGTGTTTTAATGAGCAATAGAATACAGTAGAGTAAATTGGAGTAGAGTAGAGTATGGTATAGCAAAGTGGATTAAAGAATAATGTAGAATAGACTAGAATAGTGTAGAATATAATGGCCTAGAATATGATAGAACAGAGTGGAGAACAGATTTAAGCAGATCACAGTGCAGCAGAATAGAATAGAATAAAATATGATCGAATTGAATAAAATAGTGAGCTGAAATAAAGAAAATTAGAAACAACAGACTAAAGTACAAATTCAATGCTCTTCATCCTCTGCTTGCCATGGGGACCCACACTATTTGGCAATTATACATTTCTTGTTACTTTTCAGGTTCGTGGTTGGCCATAACGTGAACGCCACTGTCTGGTACTTCCTGAACGTCATCGCTGACATCAACACGTGCGTGAACCCGTTCCTGTACGCGCTGCACGGGGAAAACTTCCGCATGACGCTGCAGCGGACACTCTGTGGGTCAAAGTGCTGCCCAAAACGCTTCCGTCCAACGTACGTTTACGCCTTTCTGTTTGTCCTTTTTTTTTAATAATTGGTTAGAAGGTGCTGTGATGCTAAATGGTAGTACTTGCATTATTATGTTTATCGAAGTAAAATAGTTTTTGCTCATTTTGGTATTCTTCTCATAACAAATAAAGTCAATGACCTGAACTAGACGTCTGTCACCATGGTAACTGGTGTTGAGTTGCATCATGTTGCAATCTTTTTACATCATGCAGGAGTGATTTAGACTCGTGTCTGACAATATATGTGAATGTGTTTGAGTAAGAATTAACAGAGTAGACCATATGCAAACTAAACATCATGCAATTGCCTTGCAAATCTTACCTAAAGTTTCTAGTTGTACATCAATTCATTTATTATTTTGTGTTCCCGTCGTTCCTCAGTCGCCAAGATGAGATGTTCTCCATGCACTTCACCAGTCGCCGCTCCACGGCCGGCACGCCCATCGAGCTGTCTACTGTCCGCATCAACCATAACCTGGACTGGACCGGACGGACCCCTCCTACATTCCGCACCAACATGACTAACCATCGCAGACACCAGCTTAACAGCATTGATATGTTTTAAAGGTTTTGATAAATACTGCAGTTCTTTGAATAGCAGGTAGGGGGTCTAAACTGACAACATTCTGGAACACTATAGCCAGCCATCGCAGGCACCAGCTCAACAGCATTGACATGTTTTAAAGTCGGCTGCAGTTCCATAAACAGCAGATAGAGGGTCCTTGTTTTAAGAATTTTGATAAAAATTCCACTGCAGTTCCAAGAAAGAACACTAGGTGATCATAGTCAGATCAAACAAGCCCATCGAGCTGTCCACTGTCTGCATCAACCACAACCTGGACTGGACCGGACGGACCCCCCCTACATTCCGCACCAACATCACTAACCATCGTAGACACCAGCTTAACAGCATTGACATGTTTTAAAATTTTCAACAAAAAAATTCAGCTGCAGTCCTAAGGAAAGACGCTAGCTGATCCTAGTCAGCTGTACAGCAGCACAGACATGTTTTAAAGTTTTTAACAAAACCTCGCAAGGGGGTCCAAGCGAACAACATTTTTGACACCAAGTGGCAGAACAACACTGTAGAAAGAAACATGAATTCTTAAGAATTAAAAATCGCCAAAGTCCTTGTCACTACCCATGTCTCTCCACAGAGTCTATGCCCAAACACTTCTACAAAAAAGTAAAAAAAATATATATCAAGAGCTCATGATTCTTTGTCACCATGAGAACAAGTCATAAAGTACTAAGAAATTTAATGGTACTTGAATATCCAATTTTTCTAAACGAAGCAACTTTGGCGAAGTCACATTGCACTATAAGCTACTTGAAAAAGCCTCATGATTCACCTCATTTGAAGATGCCCCCTGTACATTACCATATCAAACCGCCAAAGAAGATTAGTATGATTGAGATCACGTCAGTATAAGCTTCTTGAGACACTATTTCCTAGAAGAGGGACTGATCAGAGATGAAACTGCGTCACTTAATTTCCTGCTCCCACTTTGGATGAAAGATTGCCTTATATGACAACGTTTCATGGCATCCAATGCAATTTCTGGGCGGCAAAAAGAAAGATATTCCGGATGTGAAAATCTGTCTGATATTGGCACTTGCTGCCATTTCATACAATTTCATCATTTGATACTTGAAGCGTTTGAAATAGTCCCAAAACAAGCTACATGTGTTGTGTCACAATAGTGGCAATTCGAAAGTTTACAGTACCAAATGGTTACAGTAACCTATACATATGCCCTATAGACAAGCAGCCAAAAAAACTAGAGAAAGAGAAAAACATTCAAGATGGAACATCTCAAACCAACTCATTGTTTTCCGTTCGCCAAGAAAAGACAAGAACGCAATACCAAAACCCATACACGCATATCATAGTTATATTGTGTTTATCTTCTTCACGCAAAACTTCAGACGCATTGTGTTTCCAGATTGAAGAATGTACTACTAGACGATTGATCATACTTTGAGCACATGAATAACTTTCGACTGTAGACATTAAAAGATGAACCTTCTCACAGAGACAGCATTGACAACAAAAGTACTGTTGAAAACATCTGTTCTGGATTGATGACTCTAATCTTTTGAAGGAGCATACATGTATGCAAAGTATCACACTTTGAGCATATATAAGCTTCGTCTGTAGACCTTGAAAAATTATCTTTCCCGCAAAGACAGTACTGACAGCAAAGGTACTGTTGAAAACATCTGTTTTGGATTAAAGACTATAATCTTTTGAAGGAGCATACATGTTTGCATGTAACGTAGAGTGGATTCATTTCTCAAGGTAATCAACCTCTAGCACACTGCAGTCATCCTTTACATGTGCTTTTGAATAAATGTCAAACTCTGGAAGTGACAGAACTGTTGGAAACACATGTCGTTAAATTCAAACAAGATCAGAAGTAAGAGTCTGTGGCATCACATCTGTAGAAAAAAGATGGGAATAGAGAAAAACTTGACATAATATGACCAAGAAATTGCATTAAAAATACTGTTTTTGATAATGCTTGGTTATTTTAAATTATAACATTTGGTTTTTGAAATTGAGTCATGCATAATATTAACGTATTGTTTGTAGTAAGTCGTTGGTGAGTTGTGATGTTTTGATGGTGTAGTTTCAAATGCTGTAGTTTATACAAATTTAAGGAAAATGAAAAAAAAATAATGCCGCTGTCACACAGCTACAGGTTTAAAAGGACATGCAGTACATTAGTATAACATTTTTAAGATTAGTATAGTTATAATCTTTATTCCATGTTAAAACTATATATTGTAATATATATTGTAAAATATGTTTGATCATATATTCAGAAATCCCTGATTACGTGGGTAGAAAGTAAAAGAATTTAAGAAAATATGTAAATTAACTATGTTGTATATGTTTATGGTACTTCATTATTGGATTGAGTCAATGAATCAAAGATATATAGTAGCTGTGTTTTTGTAAAAAGATCATATCAAATGCAGAGCTTGTTTGTATCTCTATCTAATGCACATTGTCTAGCGAATAGCCCAAATATTGCATTGTCATTCTGTAAATGAAAGAAGTTGTTTTTGTCATCTATCTTTTTAACTGTTAGCCTCCATTTTCTTAGGTGTCAACTATTGGAATCAAATACAGCTTTATCTGTAAATATATATGGGCCAGGTGGCGTTACACAATTCAAAACACAATCTGTTTCCTGTCCTGCCGATAACCTTATATAGTAACCCTTGTGGGTACTCTAAGCGGAAGGAACGAAGGCCACGACTGAAAACACATTTGCAGAGAGACATGAAAGGAAGGTTATTTGTCTACTTTGTGGGTAGTCTAAAGCGGAATGAAGGCTACGACTCAAGCTCTGTCAACACATTCAGAGTGACTTAAAAGGCAGTTATTTGTCTACTTCAAATGTCGCCACTTCCTCCGCAAATAGAGTCAAGCAGGAAGCTGCAGCTTTTTGGGATTGCTTTTTACCAGTTCGGAGTTTCGACTCAGGAAGGATGTGTATGATGTTAATAGCTTGTGAAATGAAAATAAACAAAAAAAATTGATGAAGAGGAAAACGTTTGAACTGCGTCTGGTGTCACCTGCCTATCTGTCATGAATAAAGGTTCAACTTGTGTTTTAAATTATGTCTTTCATGCTGTGAGTTTCTTATGTATTTTGTTGTATGAAACCACAATCGGTCCGTACGTGTTTCGACCTAACACGAGGTTGGTAATACATTGGAAAGAGATTTCCTACTACAGTATAATTGCCTTATCACTGTTCATGTAATTCACGAGGAAGCCGCTAGATGGCAGAACTGTACTAGATCGGTTGCCTTATGAGCACGTTACCTATGACATCGTTATGTCAGAGTGTGGTGGGCACACAAATAAACACATGTCAACTAGCTGTCAGCATCTTCAATATTAGTATCAAAACCTGCTTACTTTCGTACCTTCATAGTCACCGTCGCCAACATTAAGCCCACTTTAAGCACGTTATATTCGGTATTCTTGTGTCAAAGTGTAATGGCTCTACAAATGAACATCACATATCTTTCTGCTTCATCAAATTAAATAGCCAAGTTTACACGTACAAGATTACCAAATTGCTACTTGCATTACAACGACCAGACGCATTCGTCCAGCACACTTAAGTATGTTAAATACATATCGTTAGAGTGTGATGACTCCACAAATATCATTCAATTGTCTGCATGTTGAAGGTAAAACCTGACTAAGTACACTTTTTCTCATAACTTTCAAGATCATCACCGTTACTCCCATGAATAAATTTTAAAGCAGACATGTCCATCTTCAAGCATGATTAAGCATGATTTAAGCACGCTTTATGCCGATTTAAGCGGGTTGCCGGCACACGTGCGACATCGTTATGTTAGAGATTGATGCATGTTTGCCATTAACCGACTAGTGAGTCATTATGGCGACACGCTGGTCCATAATCTATTCACGTGTGTCTGATGCACGTCCGGGTAGAGTAGAGGCCAAGGCTCTGACGTCACGCTGGGGAGCGTGACAAAACTCAATGTAACGCAACAGAAATTTTTAAGCCACGTGTCAACTTTATTCGGCAGCACCATGGGGAACAAATAATTGTGTGTGTGTGTGTGTGTGTGTGTGTGTGTGTGTGTGTGTGTGTGTGTGTTTGTCTGTATGTGTGTCTGTTAATGCCTTTAGCATTGTAAAACAGCATGTAAAACAAACCTTATGTAAAACACCCATAGCTTATGGGACATCGTGTTATTGACAGGTACACTTACATGTAGCTACTGTTGCTTGAGGATTTTAGTTAAAACTACACAAAATCGCAATAGATTTGGTCTGGAAATTATCTCTGCAGTATTGAGACTGTCCCTAATGCAAGATACGCGCGGCTCTACGTAGATACTAAAAGTGCTGTGGTAAGGTTTTAGTCACACCTTTCCGAGCACGCCTCATCCACATCGAACATCCACGAGCGCCTATCTTGAGTGCCTATACATTTCTACAAACAGGCTGCGATCCGAGGAAAGCTCGCCTGGCGGGTAGGAGGATCGGGCTGTAATGTTTGTTGTATGAGGGCCTGCATGGCGGGATAGTGATGATTAAGAATTACGTTAAATTCTCAGAGCTGATTACGAACAATTACCCGTTACGGCCACATCGATTTGGGACGACTGCCTACGGATTACGAAGACTAAAAAGGCCTGATTACGCCTTACGAAAAAGGCCATGCAGGCCCTCCTGTATCATCTTCAGGCAAGCTCTCAGGAGCACGTCATATCCAAGCAGATCCGAGGACAGTATCAAATTGCCCAGGCAGTATCCATTGGCCAGAGAGAGTCCAATACGCCACCCAAGGTGGGAGTAGCGGCAGAAAAACGGGCCATATATAAAAAGGGCCACAATATCTAACGATCCTCCTCATCAACCTCTGCTTGGAGAGTAGGGAACACGTACGCGGGAAGCAACAGGATGGTGTCTGGAATGAAAATTGTAGGCAGTAGGCATTCCATCGGTCTCGTAAGACCATGAAGAAGAATATTCTTCTACATCATGCATAAAAATCAACATCAT